CTGTTACCAAAGATTATTAAATTCACACAAAAGGGACTACCAAACAGAGCCAAAAAATTTGAATAAGATAAGTATAGCATGACCCGTAATCCAAAGACTTAATGGAACCACTGCATCTTGGTGTGAAAAATAGAACTTCTTTTGCTGCATATGTTGTAAATAATTCGAGGAGCACATGCATATGCTAACTCACACATCAGCCAACAGGGTCTGTCTTCTGTGTTTACACCATGATGAGATTCGAATAGTTTAAATTTAAAATTTTTTAATTTTTAATAAATAATTTATTATTAAAACAGATGGTGCATATTTAATTTAAATAGTCCTATTTAATATTAACATTTTTATAATTCAACTATTCCAATATATTATAGATCATCTAAATTTAATAATACATATTTTTATATTTTTGGTGAATTTTTATTTTAGTAAATATAATATTAAAAATAAAAATAATATCCTAACTTGTACTTTTTTAAAAACAATTGTAAGTTAAAATTTTAAATTTGCATTACTCAAAGTAAATCTAGATAGTAAATTTATAAAATTGTAAAAATTTAATATTAAATTTAAAAAAATTTAAATTAAATCTAAACTATCCAATTAATAATAAACAAATTTATTAAATTTTTTATAAATTTTTATTTGATAAATATAAAATAAAAATAAAATTTAAAAACTTTACTGGTCCAGATCTCATGAACAGCCAAAATTATTCCCAACAAAGAAAGCTTCAAGTGGACCAATAGAATTTAGAAAACATATGATTCGTACACTGTTACAGAATTAACATTTCTCACATGCCAATTAAAATATCTCCCACTGCAACACAAAGCGTCTTCTTTATCTTAGCGTGTTTGGTCTTCACCGATGTCCTTGTTCGTCGCTCTCTGCTCACCGTCGTCTTCTTCTCATCAGTTTCATATAATTAAATTCCATGTGGATATGACTTGGCAGTCACAACAACAATTGTTAACAGCATTAATAATGTTTTTTTTTTTTTTACATCTATGATATTGATTGAATAATGACTTGAGTTATGAATGGCAATCGTGGGCAAGTAAACTTGTGATAAAAATATAAGCTCTAATTGTAAATTTAGATTATAAACTTGCAAGAGTTTATTTCAATTAATAAATAGTCATTAAAATATGACCTCAATTTAATTTAAATATATTAAAACTATAATGATTGAAATTAAACTCATTTACATTAATAAATTATCATATACAAGACATAAAAATTTTAAAATAGAAAAACTTATTTTAGATATTTTTGTTTTCTTTTTTATTAATATTAATTTTTGTATTTCAAGTTTTATTTTTCTTTAAACTAGGTCCTATAACTTTTATGAACAGAATTTTTTATAATATATACTTAACTCACTCAACTAAAAAAAATTTGATAAGCTTAATAAGTTTAACCAAGTTTGAATTCAGTTCGAATTTATGAATTTAACGACATAATTTTATAAGTTAAATATGTAAAAATGATAAATTTGAAAGTAAACTCTCAAATTTAATTGAGTTTGTATTTAATTTGAATTTATGAGTAAGTTAACATAAATTTATAAGTTAGAAATGTAAAAATATTAAACTTAAAAAATTAATTCGAGAGTTTGACAACTATGATAATAAAGACAAATTTTTTAAACAGTAAAATGAATAAGAATTGAGTAATGTTTAGATAGTAATGAGTATACTAAGGTATATTTTAAGGATTGTATTTAAAGTGAGTTGAAACTATGGAGTCTAAAAGATTAATTTTTCCTAAAGTATGGAGTCATGCATCTATAATTTTAATTTTTTATGGAAATAATTTTTAATTTTTAAAGTGGAGAGGTGGAATAAATCTTATAATAAACTTTATTCTTTAATTTTTAATATGCATAACAAATCATAAAATAGAACGCATTGTTATCTAGATTTTATGATATCATGGTCACTGATTTTTTTTTAAAATCATATTTTTAATTAAACATGCACGGAGGTAATAAATTCAGAAATAAAATAAGGATGTAAATAATAAATTTTGGAGTCACCTATATTTTTGTAATTCTCAACATGCACATGTATAATAAATTTTAGAATAAAATATTCAGTTTAAGTTTTTAATATGGTCAGATATAAAAAACCATAAAATAAAATGTTCTGTTATATGAAGTAGATTTTTTTTTTTAACATTTTGACCTACTTTTTTTTAAATTAAATAATTTTTAAATTATATTTTACTGTTTAAATAACTTATAATACACATAGTGTTTAGGGAAATAAATTTAGAAGTAAAATATGCTATTTAGATTTTCAATATGCACAAGGGAACAATTTATAAAATACGTTATTTAATACGCATGGGGCAACACCTTATAAAATTGAACCACTTATTATCTAGATTTTTCTAAGAGATAAATTGAATGGATTTCCATTCAAAAAATACTTTATCAAAATCATTTTTATTTTATTACAAATAAGTTGTTTATTTTTATCCTATAATCACCATAAACATCTCCGTTTTTATTTTAAATTTACAAGAGGTATAATTTATTTATTTTTGATTGCACGGGGTGTACAATTTACTCACACATAAAATAAGTTGTCATTTAATTTTTAAAATTGCATGAGGATAAGAAATCCTAAGATAATTTTATATTAGAATAAATCTTAAGCTAGTTTATATTCTTAATTTCAGTAGAAAATTTTTAAATTATTTTTCGTAGTATAAAAGAGACAAATTCTAAATCAAAACATTAATTTAAATATTTTTAAGTTACAATGATATAAACAATTTATAAACTAAAATAAATTTCTGCTTATATTTCAGTTTAACTGAGTAACCAATTTTAAAATAAACATTTTTTATTCTTTTAATATAAATAAATTTTTATTTATTTGTATATTCTAAGCGTATTAAACTCTTCTCTCATTTCTTTTCTTTTCATTTCTCTTATTGTTTGGCTGAGCAAGAGTTTGGAGGAAGAGGAGAAATTATTAATTTCATATGACAATAATAACGTTATTGTTTGTGTGTGTGTCTATATATATATATATATATATATATATAAAATAAAACTTAATATTTTAACATATTGTTTGTTTAAGTTTTAAGCTATGTGCAACTCTTTTGTTTTGTATTTCGTTCGTAAGAGCACACGAAATGAGTTCATCATTCATTTTGAAAATGAAGGGAGAGGAAGCAAAACCCAATTAGGAGATGCCTAACTATAAGCAAAACCCACGGGGCCCTTTTTTTTTTTTTTGACTAGTCACAAGGGTCCGAAAGAGCGTAAGGAGACAATTAAAGCGAGTCATGTAAGAAATTGTTAAAATTTTTGCATCCTAGTTCCTCCTTGAAGAGTGAATCATTGAAGATTATAAACTTATAATTCTTAAAAGTATTGCTAGATGCTTAGTGAGCAAACAAATCAGTACATTTATTTATTTATCTAAATTTATGGTCGAAAATAACTGTATAGTCTTTCATAATAAAATTCATAATTTTCACCACCTGGATACTTATTGTCTATTTAGTTTGCCTAAATAATTGATTATTTGGGAGCAAATCATGGTTTGAAAAAATAAAATATCCAAACAACATAATTAATAAGATAATATAGATAGAGTAACATTTTGCAATAAGCTACCCACAGAGCTTCTCTGAACCAGATAATCGATTATATAGGTAAAATGTTAATATCAATATAAGTTAAATTTCTATAATTAATCAAATATATAAGTTAAATAATATATTTTACTTCTTAAATACTTTCGCCGTTTAAAAATATAAGGTATTTTTAATTAAATCTCATCCTCCAATAAAATAGTTACCTACTTTTCAACTAACGATATCTTTTCACATTTACTTTTATTAAACACCCAATAATAAATATAAATTCATAATTAATAGGAACACTTTTAAAAAAGGCAATAATTACACCTCGAAAGATTAAAAATATTTTATATCATTGAACATCTAACTCCTCAAAAAATGCCTTATATTTTTTAATGGAGGGAGTAAAGTTTAACAAATTTAATAATATTAGATACAACTTTATCAATAATTTAATTTTAAAAATCAATGCCATTTATAGTAATTTGTACAGCTAAAATTATTTTAATTAAATTATTCAAATATCTTCAATTTTATTAAAAATAATTTAAAAAAATAATATTTAAACAAATTGTATTATAACATAATTAATTATAATCAAAATTAATTATATTAATCAATTATTTTTATATTAAGTTATATCCAACTGAAATCTAAATAAATTTTTAAGATCAATTGACTAAAAGGATGATCCAACTTAAATAAAAGTCTTAAGTTTGAATATTGAACGTGAGCGTTGTTGGGAACCCTAAGCTAACTAGGACTCAATTTTATTCCACGGGATTAGAAGTTTGCTTTATTAGTGTCCTTCGCGTCAATTATCTCTCAACAGAGCCTACACTATGTTTTTTTACACCTCAGCCCTCCCTCCCTCATCCACCTCTCATTACCCCAGGAGCCTTTGTTGGCAATTCTATAAAATTAGTTAAAATTTAATTTAAATTAATTAATTATTTTTTTTATTAAAAAATATAAGATATTTTTAACTGAATTTCATTCTCAATAAAATAGTTATCTACTTTTAAATTAATCTTATCTTTTTATATTTATTCTTATTAAATACTCTACAATAAATATTAAGTCATTATCAATAGGAGTACTTAAAAAAATATAATGATTATATTTTAAAAGATAAAAAATATTTTATATCTTTTAATATTTAATTTTTTAAAAAATATTTTATATTTTTAAATAAAAAAAGTATTTGATCAAACTATCATTCTCGAGCTTGTGACGTGAAGAGCAGGTGATGGATGGAATTTATTAAATAAAACATTAAAATAAAAACAACTTATGTTAAATATCATATAACACTTCGTCGTTGATTTTTTTTTTTTGGGACAGTGATGGGGCCGAGGTGGCTCTGCCATAAATACATGTAACGCCACAACAATCCTGGCACGCTGCAAAAGAAGCAGAGCAGAGAGAGGAAGGAGGAAAGGTGGAGAGAGAATGAGCAGCAACGCAGGAAAGCTCGTGTGTGTAACTGGAGCTTCTGGCTATATTGCTTCATGGTTAGTCAAGTTCCTTCTTCATCGTGGTTACACTGTCAAGGCCACTGTTCGCAACCCTAGTGAGTGATCCTTTTTCACTGTCTCTGCTTTTATCGCTTTCTTTGGTGTGTTCTGTCACTCTTTTTTAGATACCCAATTCCAATTTTTTAAGTTCTGGTTTCGTGGGATGGGAATTTTATGAGTTTACGAACCTTACTGATTTCAATAATTTCATGGTGGTAATGCTAATTGAAAATTGAAGAAGATGATTACTCTGTTTTTTATACTTTCTGGCAATATTGCTCCTTCTAAAAAGTAAGGATAGCCCTCCTTCGAGAAAACTTTCTTAGCATTTTTGCCCCTTAACCCTATAATTAACAGAACCTTTGGGAGAGTTGTGTCCCTGCTAGCTCTTAAGTTTATATGAGCTGAATCTTATCTTTCCATGGTTGGGCTCTAGTCCCATGCCTTTTGATGGTTCATAACAGATTCAATTAGCTCCAGTCAAGAATACCATCACTGCATTACCAAGAAATCAATAAATAGTGCTGTGAAGGGAACCCATGGCTTTGATATTGTCTTTTGCTTTGGACTTCGTGATTGTTGGTAGTAAATCAGTTATCCTTGTTTCCATGAAGCATTTCCTTTGATTGTGAAAGTGAATATATATGCAATTAGCTAGCAAAAGTACTAATCCCATAGGCATAAGTGATTAGGGCATGGCTATAAAGGTAAGGATTTATTTTACAAGGGTTCCTAAAAGATTCCATTTTGCATTATGCTTTCCAATTTTCCATGGTCATTAGATGGCATTGATTTTTATTCTTTCTCACAATGCTAATTACTAGGATTTTGAACAACAATTTTATTTCGGTTTGTATCTCCCTGCAGATGATCCAAAAAAGGTTGACCACTTGCTCAAACTTGATGGTGCAAAGGAGAGATTGCACTTGATTAAAGCAAATCTCTTGGATGAAGGTTCCTTTGACCCTGTAATTGAGGGGTGTGAGGGTGTCTTTCATACTGCATCTCCCTTTTATTATGATGTCAAAGACCCACAGGTTCATCCCATTCTGCATTTCTTGATACATAATTGAATGTGGTCTGTCCATTGCAAAGTGTTCTGTTTTCGCTGCTTTAATCTGTTTGAACAGTGATTTTAAATATCTAGGAAGGGGAGAGAGAGTGGGGATAGAGAACCATTAAGATGAGTTCTTCCTCTTTGCAATTCCATATGGGAAATCAAAAAGTTATTCTTACTTAGGAATCTTTGCAGTTCCGCAATTATAATGTTTCATTTCCTCTGATAAGCAGGCAGTTAATTTCTGAACACTGATAGATTGTCATGTTGGCATTTGCCAAAAGTTTTCAATTGGAAAAATATTAGCATGATCTTGTTGATATAGTTAAATCAAATAAATTCATTGCGAAACCTTGAACTAGAAGTTAGGCAATTTTGAGTAAATGGGATAATTCAGAGCTCTAAGCAAAATGTACTGAAAAGAATAGGATGTTATGCCTTAGACAATTTCTAATCATGATGTATAATTATATTCTTTAAATGCCGAAAAGTTAAAAACCCAAATGTTTGGTTTTTGATAGAGCATAGTAGCCTCGTGCTATCCATCTAGATGACTCTACCTAGTGGCATAAAACTTCTTAGCTGCTTGTTGCCATAAAACTGAAAGTCAGCACAGCTGCACTTGCTGCCTTACCCTTTTCAGTTGGACTATGTATTTTGAACGCATAGATCAAAAAAATGAGTAGGCCGCTCATTTTGAATGCCCTTATTTGTATTTGGATTAGGGGCTTCAATAATAAATTGCTGTCTAGAATCCCCTGATCATGAGTCTTGGCTAAAGAAAGTGGTAAACTCTTCTGAGTGTTTTATGATTACATGTTTGGCATTTTCTATCTGTGAAGTACAACAGAAGCTACTGATCTCTCGTGGCCTTATTTTCATGCTCATGACTGTTGCCATTCTCATTTCAGGCTGAACTCCTTGATCCGGCAGTGAAGGGAACTCTCAATGTTCTGAAGTCATGTGCTAAATTTCCATCTGTGAAAAGAGTTGTTTTAACTTCTTCCATTGCTGCAGTTGCATTTAACGGAAAGCCTAGAACTCCTGAAGTGGTTGTTGATGAGACATGGTTTTCAGATCCAGATTTTTGTAAGGCATCTAAGGTAATCCATCATATTTTATTGAACCAAATTACTAATACAGCAATTATCTGTGCAGTACATGCTGGTTGAACTTGTGATAGGGAATGTTGTAGAGTTGGGAACTTTGGATAGCCATTGCCTATCTAATGGGAAAATCAGAATGACATGATATAATGTATGCTAAATGGCATGAAAGCCTAGAGCCCATCTTCCATTAAGTGGAATGGCTTTACTCTGATGGCGCCACGGTGTCAATGAAGATGGTAGCTATGACCTCCATCAGTACCGCATAACCCTCTGTATTAGAGGGAAATTATCAAATTAGTAAATAAAAAGAAAAATCTGGATAACAATGCAGGGATATCCATGAAGGCTCCTCCTCACTGAAACCATCTCAGCCTTGCTCAAATCCTCAGTCAGATCAATTTGATCTTTTCCCTCATTATTTTCATAACAACCCACAGATATTGGTGTCTCACTTTTTCCATGTCAACTCCATTTTTTTTCAGCTTTTTAGGGAATTAGAGAGTATTTTGCTCGCTTTCAAGTCCTCTATTTTGACTGAAGTCTCTTAGTTTTGATTTTGATATCAAACAGTTGTTCCAGTTGGTGCAAATATGATTATTTGTCATGCACAGTAATTTACATTGTCCTCAACTTTCCTTCTGTTTCCAATTTTGTGCTTTCAGCTGTGGTATGTAGTTTCAAAGACCTTGGCTGAAGATGCTGCCTGGAAATTTGTAAAGGAGAACAACATTGACATGGTTGCCATCAATCCAGCAATGGTAATAGGACCTCTCTTGCAACCAACGCTTAATACAAGTGCTGCTGCAATTTTGAATATAATAAACGGTACTTTCTTTTTCTACATATGATGCATCTGAGTTACTTGATCAACTTTAGCTCAACAGCTTTTTTATGGCTCTAGTAAATGGAAAAAGAAAAGGGATCAATGTTACTACATAGAAAATGTAGGAAAAAGTATAAGAACATGAACATTGTAATATTTTAATCAGTAGCTTGAACTTGTTCTAATGTACGTTGGACTTATAATGCATCCCATTATGCTAGATCAGAATATTTTTATTTTCCTTTTTGTGGCTCTAAAATTTTATAATGTTATATACTCTTTATTGTTATTGACTTCAATTCTGCATGAAAAGGAAAATAGAAACCATGGACTGGAATTGGCACAAAAATTAGTGACACAATTCTATCCTATACAAAATGTAAAGGGGACTTCATCACTTGGCACATGTGAGTTATAAGGACTTCAATTGCTGGTTGAGAACAATGGTTTTACCTTTGAGATAAACAAAGTTAGGGACTAAATACACTTTTCTTCAAAATTTCTTTATCAAGGATCCAATAGTCTAATTTGTTAGTGATTTAATTTTTGTTGTCACTTTGAGAAATGTTTGATGACTTCTGTTTGTGTTATATGTACTCTATCTTTGGGCCCCAGACAAGAATTTTTGTGTTCCACCTTGAGGGATTCTTTTCATCCTTGATATATGCAGGTGCTGAGACATTTCCAAATAGTTCTTTTGGATGGATCAATGTGAAAGATGTTGCAAATGCCCATATTCAAGCATTTGAAATTCCTTCTGCTAGTGGAAGGTATTGTTTGGTTGAGAGAGTGGCACACTACTCAGAGCTTGTGAAGATTTTACGTGAGCTGTATCCAACATTGCAACTTCCTCAAAAGTAAGTTCAATTATTTCTATAATTTTCAGACTTCATATGACATATAGTTCAGTTATATATCTTTCTCTAGCCTTTTTGTGAATTTATCTCTTTTCTAAAGTGTGGAAGCTTAAATTATTGTTTTCACTTTTTTCCCCCAAATAAATTTATTGGTGAAGATCCTTGCATGACTTAGAACCATCTACTGTTCTTTATAATGTGGTCTGGAGCTTTATACATTATATAGATTATCAATTGTGATAAAATTGGCTACTAAATCTTAGAAGCCATTGAATTCAGCACGCTATATAGCCATTTTGGGCAGATTGCTGCAGAAATTCCTTTATGCCATGCTAGGATACATATAGATTTGAATGCGAATTAGGATCTGAGCCAAATCTCCTATTTGGGCACTTAAAAATTTATGGACTTGGATTGTAACCAAATCTAAATTCAAATTTTATCTTAATTCCTTCATAATATGAAATTCTTTCTAAACTCTTGTTATTTCAAATTTTCATATGTACCCTCAAAGTACGACCTAATAGTAATGACCTTTGTTATTTAAACTACTCAAACAAAGACTTTTAAATACATGAATTTGAAATGTGAGATTTGGAATTTAAATTTCAAATCAAAATCTATTAATCCAAACACTACCTTAAGATGTGAAGCATAGGACATGCTAGAACATGAAACATGTTCCCACTTTCCATTTTAGAAAAAAGGTTTCTTCTCCAACATGACCTAGAAAGGGAGTTTTTGTCCTGTCATTGTTCAAGGTTTTGATAAATGCCTAATGTTAAATGTAATACCAGAAATCTAGAATCTATAAAAACCCAAAACTCTGCGTTTAACTGTTGTGCATGTTGTATGTAATGGAATTTCTATGTGGTCTCAAAGCTTAGTGTTAATTTTCTACAAATCCTTCATTTAGAATTTATTTGATAGGTGCTCATATTTAGTGCTTGACTATATCTTGAACTAGATTGCCTTTAATAGAAGAATATTTATATGCAATAAGAAAGAAAATAATTTACTTGAATCCATCCTTTTAGCCTTCCCAATGACGGGTTCATGTGTGCTAAGTATTGTGATCATTCTGTATAATTGGAACTTGAAATGAAAAGTATGTTTGGACTGGTGTTAAAGACTTGATATGATGGTTATTTTCGTGAAATGGTGTGTTTGGATTGATAGAAGGAGAAGAGATAGAAAGCTTCAATTTAAATGACTGTCAGTCTAGCCTAATCTTTTAGCAATAAGATCTCATTGGCTACTTTTGGATCCTTGTTTCCTGATGTTGTGTTCCTTATGATCATGTTCCTTCAAAACCACATTTGATAAGCCAAATGGCCTTTACTCTATTTACTTCATATTCATTCATTTAGTTTATATATTGATTTCTGAGTTTTGCTAATTTCATTTCTTGGTTTCTCACCATCCTTGACAGGTGTGAGGATGATAAGCCATTTGTGCCGATATATCAGGTTTCCAAAGAAAAGGCAAAAACACTGGGAATTGAATTTATTCCACTGGAAGTGAGCCTCAAGGAGACTGTGGAAAGCTTGAAAGAGAAGGAATTTGTCAACTTTTAACTTTGTAATCCCTCTTTGAAGAGGAATTGTTGGTTAGCTCGAGCATGCTTTAAGTTGGTATATCTTTGGAATGAATAACTCTATCTCCTTTTGTTATAAACTAAATGGTTCTTCAGAAGGCATTGAGAGGGAATGCAATGCTCCTATTAGATAGGTCCTGTTGTGAAAGAACTTTTAATCTGTTTATGTGATGGTTATGTAGCTGATCTCATTTGGAGAGACAAGGCTGGTGGTTATCGTTGCTGTATGTAATGGTTGTAAGCTTATAATATATTGAATGTTAATGTGAACTCAAAGCAAATTGAGGCAGGAAATAATTATCTTAGAAGTGCATAACTATAAAATACCCCATTGACTTTCTATCATTTGGTGTGTGATTGGTTTTACTTTGGAAAGTGGGAACTACCACGGCATGCTGAAACAAGATATGCCAACCTTTTATGTTCAGCAATTCGAAGAAATTAAACATTAACCATTAACATTAAGCAGTAAATGGCCAATAAAAGTTTTTTGGTTATTTTTTGTAATTTTTGGGATTCTTATGTGTTTTTTAGGTCTTTTTTTTTTTTGTAATTTTAGATTCTTTTCTATTGTTTTCTAATAAACTAATGATCAAAATTAACTCTTATCAACAATAAAAGTTAAATTTTATCATTTTTAAAAGTTGAAGAGAAATATTATATTAAATAAATTTAGGATTTTAAATGTTCATGAATTTATAATTTAAAATTCAATTTGTCACTTAACCCACAAATTTGTATAAAGTTAATGTAATAGGTATAAAAAAGGTCCCAATAAATGGGTGTCAAGGGACAGAAAAATTAACATGAGAGATAAGAGGGAATAAAACCTCATATTTAAATCCAAACCAAAACCCTCAAATAAGCCTTATCTAGGAGCAGAAAGAGTATCTTCACAAATTAACAATAAACATGTTTTTACATAAAAAAAAAACAATAAACATGTTTATAGTATTACAATAGCAAATGGTTTAAACCAAAAACTTCATTTAAAAAAAAATCATGATAATGATGATCTATATTCATTCTACAAAGTTATTATGGCCTGGCTACATCACAATTTAAAAGTCAATAAATTTCTTTTCTTTCAAACTCTCCACCACTTCTTTTACACTTACTTCAAGTGAAATAAACTCAATTCCCAACATTTTTGCTTTTTTCTAAAAAACTTGATATGTTGGGTTGAAGGGAGTCGGCTTCTCTCTTTTGAGAGAAGCCTCCTCTGCTTCTACATTATGTTAGAAGTAAATCTGAATTGTTCAGATTTAATTTGAATTGTTTAAATTTAATATTTTTTATTTTAATTTATATTTTTAAAATAAAAATATATAAAAATTTTAAATTTTTATAATAAATATATTTATTAATTTGACAGTTCAGATTTAATATGGATGCTTCAAATTTAATATAAGAAATGCAAATTAACTCTTTAGATATATTTTGAGCAGTACAAATATATTTTGAATAGAACAGAAAATTTATTAAAAAATTTTAACATTAAATTTAGACCATCTATATTAAATCTGAATGGTTAAATTGATAAGTATATTGATTAAATTTTTTTACAATTTTTATATATTTTTATTTATAAATATAAATAAAAAATAAAAAATAAAAATACTTTAAGCCTCTACCTTAGTGGAGAGGCAGAGGAGGCTTTTCTCAAAGGAGAGAAGCCGACTTTGAATTGAAGAGTTTATCATCAACACACCTTAGAGAAAGCAAGAAATGATATTAGAAATTATCATAATTAAAAAAAAGTGGATGGATTTAAGGCCAAATATTAGAAAGGGCTAGTGATCAAATATAATTTGAATCAATAAAATCAATTCATATAATCAAGAAATTAGAAGAATTCTCCTACGTAGAATAATGAAAACAAGAATCTCTAGAAAGTAGAAATAGCAATTAACTCTTTTCTATGATATCTAAAAAAAATATAAATCTCATGCAACTTTACATTAACTGGATGAATACAAGGATTAAAGAATAATTTGGCTCATAAACTATAGGTCTAAGGGCATTTGAGAGCCTAATTTTTTTTTAAATGTAATGTTGCCTTTCATCATTTAAAAATAATGTAACGTCATCCTATTATTAACAAAAATTAATTTTAACTGTTAGTTGATTATAAAATGATGTAAAAGGACAAAAAAATTACAAACAAGTACAAAAAAATTGCTAAAAATGATTCAAAAATTATAGACAAATACCCCAAAAACTACAGAAAATGACCAATAACTTATTTGTTTGGAAGTTGTAAATGTAAAATCTTCACAATTTCTGTATGATGTTTCATTGACTCAACTAGACAATATCTTCCGCTAGTAGAAGGATTTTCAAATGCTTGAATATGAACATTTGCAACATCTTTCAAATTGAGCCACCCTAAGGTATGATTTGGAAATGTTTGGCCACCTGCAACGAGTAATATAAGGATATGGAAATTCAAGAGTCCTTGTGACAAGCAACATGTGCACCAAGCTCTTTTAATTGGGAACCAATTATTTTTATTTAACTATTATTCTCTTTTATTTGATTATTTAAATATATAAAAATTATTATTTTCTCTCTATTTTTCCTTCGTCTCTCCCTCTTTATCCTTGTCCTTCATCATGTACTTTATTAGCACAAAAGGTCATTTCCATCCAGAGTTAGAATTTCAGTGCCTCATTGGAGAAAAAGGATTATCCAGGTGAAAATAATGCTTTCAAACTTTACAAGCAAAAAAAAAAAAAAAAAAGATAGATAAAGCTTACAAATCGTTCAAAAATAATTGCTACATAGTGTTTATTTTAAGACATTATAATAAATAAGGGCATTTTAGTAAAATACAGTTTAATAAAATTTTATGCTGTTTATTAACTTTATGTTAAAATGTACCTTATACTCTAATTTTATATAAAGATGAATTTTAGTCCCTCAATTTTATAACGTTTTTTCAATTATCTGATTTTAACATCATTAGTTTAACCACCAATATTGAACTTTTAAATTTTAACAAAATATTTTAAATATTGACATATTGAGTTTAATCTTTTTTTAAATAACAATAATTGGTATAAAAAATAATCATTTAAAGCTAATAGTGTTGAGATGATATGATTTAAACACTTTATAAAATGAGAAAAATTCATTAAACCCCATTGACCAAACTTATTTATAGTTAACAACCTAAAATTTTAAAACACCAATTCAGTCCCTATGGATCTCATTTGGACTAAATTGAAATTATTTTTTTTTTGAGAAAAAACACAAATTTAATCCCAATCCTCTAGAATAAAAACAACTAATATAAGAAAAATGAACAATTGATATATAAGAAGTGAACAATTGACATAAGAGATGAGGGTTATTTGTGTCATTTTTCTCCAAAACTCAATTTCAATTTTGTCCAAACAGGATCCACAAGGACCCAATGGCATGAATCAAAGATGAGTGTTGAAATCATTGGAAATGAATATTGAGAACATCTAATATGGTTACTGAAAAAAAAAATTGAGTACTAAAAATGCTAAAAATTAATAGAAAAATGGAAAAGATTGATAGTAACAATAAAGAAGATTGGCGCCGGATTTCTAAAAAATTTAGTAACAACAAAAAAAAAAGATACAGTCCCATAGGAAATAAGAACAGCTATTTAAAAATATATCACAAAAATATTTGAATGTCTGTAATACTTTTGGCCTGTAAAAATAATTACAATTTTTTTAATACAAAATTAAAATTAATTTTTAAAAGATAAAATTAATGACAATTAGATTTCATAAAAAAATTTTAAAAAAATTGAAAAATATCAATTTAATGTATAATTGCAAATTAAAATTTTTTAATTATAAATAGTACATTTAAATGTCATGTCAAATGTAATTTTAAAATTTGTGAGAATTGAAGAGCATTTGGTAGGTGGAATTTATTAAATAAAACATTAAAAGAAAAACAGCTTATATGAAATGTCACATCATACGTTTTTACTTTTAACACTACCTTATTGGATTCATTTTTAGAAAAATTTCACTTAGGACGCTTTGACTGAAGATAATGAAAAAGAAGACCCATAAATTTTTGATATCTCGCTTCAAGGTTGGGGCTGTGATTTGAAATTAATTTTGAAAGCCAAATGATAAAGTTGCCCTCATTGTAATGAGAAAAAAAAAAAGCTTAAAGCTTGCGGTGGAAAACAGATGAAGCACGGGAATGCTCTATTCATCTTATTCTCCCCTCTCTCACCTTTTCCAACATCAAGTACTTGGTAAGTTCTTTAAATTATAATTACGAAAATATGGTTGATTTGTGATTGGGAACACGATTATATATCATCGGGTAAAACATGTCTTCTCTCCCTCTGACCTATCTTCTCTCCCTTATATATTTTGCAGCTTGTTTTGTGGTTAAAAATAAGATAAAATATGATTGAGTAGTATGCCTTCATTATTAAGAATTGCTCATAAAAACCATAAATGTTCTACTTCCTTACATTAAATGATGGGGTGGTTGGAACGCTAAATGTATATTCTATTTACTGTCAGACCCCTTTTCGCTTAAGTTTGTTATGTTACTCATTTTCATATTGTTGTTGTAAATATGCCTATTTACTTGTTTACATGTACAGAGACTCATGATAAATAAGTAGTCGTTGTATGTAACATCCATGATTTTAAACTGGATTAATTAAGCCCGATTAGATTAATTAAGTGTATTAGTGAGGTGTGTAGCTAGAGAGGCCAATAGGCATGTTTGGTTTCAAAGCAGGTATGAGGGAGAATCGGGCTACTTAGGAATGAGAAGAGGAAGAAATATGAAGGGAAAGGTTTTGTGCCACACACCACGGCTTGCGGATTAGGCCACCGCAGTGCGTATGTCCTAACATGCTTGGAGGGATGCTTTCCATGCCATGCGCCTACTACGGTGTATGGTCACTTTTTTGCTGAAATACTGTCACAAAATGTAGTAGAAGAAGAGAGAAAAACAAAGAAATACGAAGGAGAGATGAAAATGCTTTGTTAGAGCTTGAGGAATTCAAGTATTGGGAGTATTTTGGAGCTCATAAATGCAAAAGGTAAGCTTCCTACACTCAAATCTTCCTATTTTCTTCCATTTTCTTAGTATTGGAAGTTAGGGTTTGATTGATAATGATGATTTTCAATCCATAGAGGCTATAAGTTTGAACCCATTAACTTAAATAGAGTTAATGTGAGTAGATTGAGCTAATGAAACTTGATATTTATGGATTTGTGATGATTGGTGTTTGGGGAGCATTTTATATGCAAAAATTCCCCATAAATATGTTAGTTGGGATAATGTGATTCTATTAATGGCCATTAAAGAGCTCAATGATGTTAATG